CGGTCGCAGCAGGAGGTGCAGCTGCAGCCACAGCAGGAGAGGGCAGAGGAGGAGCCACTGGAGCAGTAGTAGGGGCAGGTGCCATCGCAGCGGACGCCAGGGGAGGCGGAGCAGCAGCGTCTGCGTGACTTGCCCGACCCTGCACCTGTACGCTTGGTTCGTGTTCCTCTACCGTCCCCTCCTGTTCCCCCTGTCGGGTCCATTTCCTCATCCCCGTGGACTCGCCGTTCTCCCCTCAGTCGTGCTGTGTCTCCAGAGCCTCGTCGATCCCGTTACCGTGCGGACGGGCCGTTTCACCTTGTTCTCCGCTCTCGTGTTCCACCTCCTCCTGTCCTTCCACAGCCTCCTGAGTCGTCTCTCACTATGTTTCACGACCCGTTGTCCGACTACCTCCGTGCCTCCCGTCCTGTCGTCTCCCGTGTTTTGCCCGCGTTGGTCACTCACCCGACTGCCCCCCCGTTGTCTGTCTCGGCTCTTGTTACCACTGTTGATGGCTTTGCCTCTTCCCACCGCCTTGACTACGCCGCTTACCTGGTGAGTGGCCCTGCTCGTTCTCCGTCCTCTGGGGGTGCTCCTGTCTTTCCCCTTGAGGTCCTCGAGGACAGGCACTTCGAGCTTGGTTTCCTTGCGGCCGTTGTTCCTCATCTCTACGCCATGCTGCTTGCCCCCGAGGGGGATCCAGACGCCCTTGACATCCCGATCCCTCGCACTCATGCTGAGGCGGTCTCGGGACCTTGGGCTTCGTACTAGATAGCAGTTGAGGAGGCAGAGATGGCATTTTATAGGTCCACAAGCACCTACGTCGACGCCGTCCCGCCACCTGGGGCGAACGTTGTCCGTGGCATGTGGCTCTACAAGGTGAAGCGGCCGCATGGAGCACCACCGGTGTTCAAGACGCGCTATGTGGTGAGAGGCTTCAGTCAGCGAGAGGGGGTAGACTTCTTCTAGACCTTCGCTCCCACCCCGAAGATGACCACTCTTCAGGTGTTGCTGCATATTGCAGCAAATCACGATTACGAGTTGCACTCCTTGGACTTCTCCTCCGCGTTCCTTCAGGGGAGCCTGCACGAGCAGATCTGGCTGCGTTGTCCGCCTGGCTTCACTTGCACTTTCCCTCCTGGGACCCAGTGGCAGCTGCGTCGACCGGTCTACGGCATGCGCCAGGCTCCCCGCGAGTGGCACGTCACGCTACATACGACTCTTGCAGCGCTTGACTTCTTTCCGTCGTCTGCCGACCCGTCGATGTTCGTCCGTCGTGGCTCGACCCCGTTCTTTGTTCTAGTCTACGTTGACGACCTGGTCTTCGCCGCTCCCGACCGACGCCCACTGGCCTCCATGAAGGAGGAACTGCAGAGGAGACACACTTGCACTGACGTTGGTGAGCTGCAGCGCTACCTTGGCCTGCGGTTCACTAGGGACATGGCAACTCGCAACATTACGCTGACGCAGTCGTATATGTTCGAGCAGATCTTCACGCGGTTTCGCTTCCCGTTCTCCAAGGTACATCTCACCCCTCTTGCTGTGGATCGTGGGCTCACGGCTCCACCTTCGGACGAGCCATCTGATTCCAGCGGTCCATAACCTAAGTTGGTCGGTTGTCTCATGTACCTGATGACCTGTACTCGCCTTGACCTAGCTTACCCTCTTAGCGTCCTTGCACGCTTTGTTGCGCCTGGGAGACACCGACCTTCCCACTGGTACGCTGCTAAGAGGGTGGCGAAGTATGTGGCGAGTACATCAGGCAAGGGACTTGTGCTTGGAGGGAAGCAGCCAGTTACTCTCACAGGTTTCTGGGACTCGTCGTGGGGCCGACGACGCTGAGTCGTTGCGGTCTACGCAGGGTTACTGCTTCAGCCTTGGCACCGGAGCTGTTTCGTGGAGGTCGACTCGGGCGTCGTCCGTCTCTAGTTCCAGCTGTGAGGCAGAGGTGTACGCTGCAGCCATGGCCGCCCAGGAGCTTTGCTGGCTGTATTTTCTCCTCATTGACATTGGTGAGCGGCCTCGCTCTCCCCCAGTCTTGTTTGCCGACAACAGTTCTGCTATCCTGTTGTGCGAGGAACCCCGACTGGTTGGGAAGGCGAAGCACATCCAGCTTTGTTACTTCCTTCTGCGAGAGTTGCAGCAGCGTGGCCAGGCACTCGTGCGACGTGTGGTCTCTGATGCCAACACTACAGATATCTTCACCAAGGCGTTGCCGCCTTGTGACCACCAGCGTTTCTGCACCCAGCTTGGCCTTGTGTCTAGAGGCCCTCACTTGCTTGCGTAGAGATGCTTTGTCTTGTACTCTTGCATTTTACTATATATCCTATATCTGTGCTTGTGGACAGGCCTTGTGGCCCCTTGCTTCTGCAGAGATTCTTGTCATGCATGTCTTGTACTCTTGCATCTCTTATATCAGCTAAATCATTGCATGTGGACTGGCCTTGTGGCCCCTTGCTTGTTCTCGCACAGTGTGGTGATCTTGAGATCCACCCCGAGAGTTGCCTTGTTCTTGCTGATTGGTCCTGTGACCCTTGCTCTTGGGTTGTGTGTTGCTCTCCACAGGACTATCGTCACCTAGACTATGGGGGTGTGTCAAACTATCATTGTTATAGTTTGTTAGTTTAGTCTAGGTGTTACACTGAGTTATGCTGTAGAGGGTATAACCCCGTTAGGGTTTGCTATATACTCCCTTGTACTGCTTGTTTCTAGACATTCATTATTCAGTTACCTCGTTAACACGGAAAGGTGTGCCGCGCCAGCTTCCCGCCGACGCACAACACACACGGGAGGTCGGCCCCGATCGACGGCTCGATGTCGAGGCCGGTGGTAACTTCATGCTTCGCCGAGCTCTTGATCGTGTTGACGCCGACGTGCGCGAGCCTCACGTGCCACCGGTCGGGGGTCGACTTCGTCGTAGAAGCAATCGTCCGCAGAGCCACCACCTCGGTCGATGTCGGCGTTAGCTTCGTCGAGCAGGGCCGGAGGTTGGTGCAGAGGACGCGGCCAGTGTAGCGTGCTTGGCCGAGCACCTCACCTGCACTCGACACGAGCATCATCTCGTCGTCGTCGTCCTGCAGCTTCACACCGCTCTCCTGCAGCTGGCCGGCAGACAGCAAATTCGCCTGCACTCCCGAGACGTGGAGCACGTCGGGGATGAGGACCTGCTTCCCGGCCTCCCCTTGCAGAGCGACAGTGCCGCGGCCCTCGACGGTCTGCAATGCCTCGTTAAAGCCGCGCACATGCTTCACGTCGTCGCTCGGCGCCATGTCGACGAAGACCTCTTTCGTCCCCATCAGGTGGTGCGAACAATTGCTGTCGAGAAGCACCACCTTTAGATTTGCTTGCACGGCGGCCGCGACCGCCTTGAAGTCCTCCCCGACTCCCGGCGCAAGCGAAAGATTCGGCTCCACAGCGACGACCATAAAGCACGACGCCTCCCCGTCGCCTCGGCCCTTGCTGCTAGAGGAGTTGACGTCCTTCGTCGACGACGTCTTCTTCGACGCCTGCTTCTCCTTGCGCGGCCTTTCGTCTTGACTTCGTCGGCCGATGGCCGACCTCTCGCGGCCTCCTTTGCGGTCGTCGTCGTCGGAATCGTCGCGGTTGGGACACTCAAAGGAGAGGTGGTCGGGGTCGCCACAGACCCAGCATTCTCGCCGTCGATCACCACCTCTGCGATCCTTGTCCCACGTCGACTTCGTCTAGTCAATGTCCTTCGTCGACCTCCCACCTCCGCTACCACCTCCTCCCGGCTTCCAGCGCTGCCCCTGCTGACGACTCTGCTTCGTCGGGGCGGCGTAGTTCGCTTGCGGAAGGAGCTCCGTGGGTTGTTCTGCCTCCTGCATCGCCTCATCCTTGATGATGTGGCTGGTGAGGGTGTCCTCGTCGAGCGACTCACGTATGCCGGGCATCACCAACATCCGGCGCATGAGGTTGTAGTCGCTCGGGAGGCCCTTGACAACGTGCGTGATGTACGACGCCGTCGAAGAGTCGACGCCCTGTCAACGTGCTTACTTAGCTGGTAACCGGGTTTAGCTAGGGCCTAGGCTTAGGAGCCTAGGGCACGAGTGTCGAGTTGGTTGTGCCAAGGAGAAATGTCGAGATTGTGTGTTGTTCACTATAGCACACAAGGTACATATAGCAAACTAGCAAAGGTGCACCACCAACAACAAGGAAACATAACTACATTAAAGCTAAAGCTACAGGCAGTTATAAACATATATAAAATATATATCGCGACACACCCCCTTAACTGCCTGCAGCACATAGCTAGAGTAAGTCACACCCCCTTAACCTGCTTGCGGTAGGAGCGTGGGAAGCCACAGAGGGGTAGAAGAAGCAGGGGAAACAGCAACACATATCAGCCATGATAAATACAACAACGGCATGTGCAGGACCCGAAAGGTGGGCGTGAGAGCAAGCACCGCGGCCGCAACGAGCAGCAGGACAGCGCAGCTCAGCACCTCCGGGGGCGTGCCTGCAACAGGCAGCAGTTGCAGTGATGGCGGATGGAGCTACAGTGACCTCAGCCACGGCAGATGCAGCAGCGATAGGTGCAGGACCCTGCAGGTGGGCGTGAGAGCAGGCGCCGTGGCTGCAACGAGCAGCAGGACAGCACCGCTCAGCACCTCCGGGGGCGTGCCTGCTACAGGCAACCTCTGGTGCTGGCGGCTGGCGCTGGTGCTGGTTCCTGGTGCTGGCGGCTGGCGCTGGTGCTGGTGCCTGGTGCTGGCGTGACGGCGCTGGAGCTAGTGCTGGTGCTGGCGGCTGGCGCTGGTACTGGTGCCTGGTGCTGGTGCCTGGTGCTGGTGCTGGCGGGATCTCTGCTGGCGGGGTCTCCGCTGGCGGGGGTCTCTGCTGGCGGGGTCTCTGCTGGCGGGGTCTCTGCTAGCGGGGTCTCTGCTGGCGGGGTCTCTGCTGGCGAGATCTCTGCTGGCGGGGTCTCTGCTGGTGGGGGTCTCTGCTGGCGGGGTCTCTGCTGGCGGGGGTCTCTGCTGGCGGGGTCTCTGCTGGCGGTGAAGCTCCTGGCGGGGTCTCTGCCGGCAGTGTAGCTGCTGGCGGGGTCTCTGCTGGCGGTGGTGCTGGTGACTGGTGCTGGCGGCTGGCGCTGGTGCTGGCGGCTGGCGGGTCCGATGGCAGGTGTGGTGCGCTGGGCGGGACGGGGGACTGTAACGGGCGCGGTAGTAGGGTCCACTGGTGGTGCCACGGGGTCGGATGGGGTGCAAGGAGTGGGTCGCGAGCGATCTGGCGCGTGTAGCGGCGTAGAAGCAACTTCTCCCGCCACTCCCATCACCCCCGCCACTCCCGCCACTCCCTTCACAGCAGTTGCGAAGTCGACGGGAGGGCGGGCGGGGAAGAGGCGTGACTGGCGGATGTTGGCGCTGGCGGCCGCCACTCCTTTCCCCCTCTCCTCTTCGCCCCCACTGCGACCGTCGCTGTTTCCGCGCCACGGAGCCGCGAGGAGGCAGCGTGACAGTGGCGGGTCCATTGGCGGGCTCGCTCGCGGGCCCGTTGGCGGGTTCGTCGGCGGGCGTGCTGACACGCGCGCTTGCGGGTCCGTCGGTGGGCTTGTTGGCGCTCTCGTTGGCGGGTCCGACGGCGGGTCCGTCGGCGGGTTTGCTGGCGCTCTCGTTGGCGGAACCGACGGCGGGTCCGTCGGCGGGTTTGCTGGCGGGTCCGTCGGCGTGCTTGCTGGCGGGTCCGATCCTGGCGTTCCTGGTGGGTTCCTGGCGTGCGCGGTGGCGTGCGTTGCTGGTAGTGCGCGGGCGACGGGTTGAAAACGGGAAAGCGCTCACGAGGCGCACTAAGTGGCGCGCCATTGCGAGCGCTAATGGTGGGCCCATTTGAAAACGGTCCTAATCGGACCTAGCTCTATACCATGTCAACGTGCTTACTTAGCTGGTAACCGGGTTTAGCTAGGGCCTAGGCTTAGGAGCCTAGGCCACGAGTGTCGAGTTGGTTGTGCCATGGAGAAATGTCGAGAATGTGTGTTGTTCACTATAGCACACAAGGTACATATAGCAAACTACCAAAGGTGCACCACCAACAACAAGAAAACATAACTACACTAAAGCTAAAGCTACAGGCAGATATAAACATATATAAACTATATATCGCGACACGCCCGCCATCCGCATCTCGGCGAGGATCCGTCGAGCACGATTGCAGTAGTCCGTCGCTGACTCCTGCTCGCCCATCCGAAGGTGGGTCAGTTGTTCCTCCAGCTGACCGATGTACAGATCGTACGTTGCCTGATACATTGATAGGATGAACCGCCACGCTTGGTGGCCTGCGTCGAGTCGAAGTCGACACGACTTCAGCTCTATCTGCACCACCGGCGAGCAACACCTTGAGATGACCATAAATGTCAGCAAGTGAGCGGCATGAAACTCCGCGCGTAGCTTGACGTCGTCTACGTCCGGTATCGATACGTCGCCGTCGGCGAAACCCTTCAGCCCGGCGATCTCCAGCTGAGGCTCTATGGACTCCCTCCACGTGATGAGGTCTCGTCGACCTTGCAGCGGCACTGGCACGGCAATCTGTTAGAATGAACAAGTGTGTTTGAACTAACAAGATTGGGAGTAGAAGTAGGAAACCCTAGAATGTTGTACCCCCTAAAGCTAAACCCACTATAGCCTACAGAATATAAACATATACAATGTTAGACACACCCCCATAGGCTAAGTGGGAGACAACCAGATGGTCACAAGACCAGTCAGAGCAAAGTAAAGCAAAACAAGCTCAGGGTGGATCTCAAGGATACCACACAAATTCCGAGCACAAGCAAATGGTCACAAGACCAGTTCACATGCAGTGTGATAATATAACAAGTGGTACAGTGATCACAACCTAGCAAGTGTAAGCATGCAGGTATATATATAGAGATCACAGTACAGGCAGAGTCAAGAAGTGAGCAAGTGAGGGACAGTAGGCACAAGGCCTAGAACAGTACAGAAACGCTGATGATCACAAGGCTGAAGCGCCTTGGTGAACACATCAGCAGTGTTGGCCCGAGTGGCCACGTAAGTAAGACGAAGCTGACCACGCTGCTGCAGCTCTCGAGCAAGGAAGTAGCGCAGAGCGATGTGCTTCGTTCCGTGCTCTAGTCTGTGCTCCTGACACAAGGCAAGGGCGGCCTTGTTGTCGACGTACAGCACTGGAGGAGAACGAGGCCCCTCTCCCAGGTCGGTCAGCAGGTAGGTGAGCCAGCGTAGCTCCTGGGCAGCCATGGCTGTGGCGTAGATCTCAGCCTCACAACTGGAGCTGAGAACAGAGGAAGAGCGTGTAGAACGCCAAGAAACTGAGCCAGAGCCAAGGCTGAAGGTGTAACCCTGAGACGACCGCTGAGTAGCCTTGTCGTCAGCCCAAGAAGCGTCTGAGTGTCCAGTGAGGACAACGTCGCACCGTCCTCCAAGCACAAGCCCCATGCCCGACGTACTGCACAAGTAGCGCAACACCCTCTTAGCGGCATCCATGTGCTCCTTCCGGTGACGGCCAGGAGCGACATAGCGTGCTAGGATGCTAAGAGGGTAGGCTAGGTCAGGTCGAGTGTAGGTCATCAGGTACATGAGGCAGCCCACAAGCTCTGGATACGGGCCACTCGGCTCTACGGACTCATCCGAAGGCAGAGCTGAGAGCGAGTGACCGGTAGGCAGAGGAGTGGGCTGAGGCGAGGAGTACGTGAAGCGGAAGCGCTGAAGGACCTGCTGCACCATGTGTGACTGAGTCAAGGTGATGGTGCGTTGTGCTCTGTCCCGGGTGATCCGCAAGCCAAGATAGCTTGTCAGCTCACCCAGGTCTGTGCACGTGTGTCTCTTCTGCAGCTCCGACTTCACGTGGGCGAGTGCCTCAGTGTCAGCAGTAGCAAAGACCAAGTCGTCTACGTACACAAGAACGTAGAACGGCGGCAGAGTGGTGTCGGTGCGTAGAAACAGCGACGGGTCAGCAGTAGAAGGAGCAAACCCAAGAGCAGCAAGAGTAGTCCTCAGTGTGTCGTGCCACTCACGGGGTGCCTGGCGGAGACCGTAGACTGGCCGCCGGAGGCTCCACTGGGTACCAGGAGGGAACGACCCAGTGAAGCCAGGTGGGCGGCGCAGCCAGATCTCCTCGTGCAGGCTGCCCTGTAGGAACGCAGTGCTGAAGTCAAGAGAGTGGAGCTCGTAGTCACGCTGAGCAGCAACGTGCAGCAGAACCCGAAGAGTGGTCATCTTCGGGGTCGGGGAGAAGGTCTGGAAGAAGTCAACTCCCTCTCGCTGACTGAAGCCTCGTGCAACGTAACGCGCCTTGAAGACAGGCGGAGAACCCGGCGGCCGCTTCACCCTGAAAATCCACATGCCACTGACGATGTTCGCCCCAGGTGGGGGAACCTCGTCGACGTAGGTGCCTGTGGACTTCCAAGAAGCCATCTCTGCGTCCATGGCTGTCTGCCACTGAGAGGAGTAGAGACCCTCCATCGCCTCTGCGTAGGAGCGTGGGGTCGGGATGTCTGGTGCATCCGGGTCTCCCTCAGGGGCAATCAGCATGGACACGAGATGAGGTAAAGCAGCAGCAAAGCACTCAAACTCCTCCTGTCTGTCCTCAAGGACGTCCGTGCCAAGAGCACACTCACCCTCGACGGACGGAGGACAGACAGACTCAGACTCAGCAACAAGGCTAGCGGCGTAGTCTAGACGACAAGCGGCAGCAAAATCAACAAGCTCAGCGACTAGAGCAGACGCAGCAGAAGACTCAAAGGTAGGGTCAGTGACAACAGTGGCAAGGAGACGCGCGACAGTAGGACTGGCAGCACGAGTAAGGTCTGACGGCGGGTCAGCAACGTCAGGAAGAGAGGACGCAGGAGGAGACGGCAGAGGGACGCGCTGTGGAGCAGTGGAAGGACGCACGGTCATATAGTGAGTGCCAAGGACACGAGGAGGACGCTCACGCGGAGCACGACGACCAGCGCAGACAGCGCGGACAGGCGACTCTGGACGCGACTCAGGCGACGGTGGACTAGACTCAGGCGACGGAGGACGAGACTCAGGCTCACGATGCTCAGTAAGACTACCCGTCGGCGCAGTGTAAGGAGAAGGACCAGGCAGCGGAGAGGCAGGCTGTAACTGTAACTGTGACTGGACAGGCGGTGGACTCAGTAGGGGAGGAGTAGGACCAGTAGAGGGCGGGAGACCAAGAACCTGCTGAAGGAGCGGAACGTAGTACGGCCGCGGCCGCTCAGCAACTCCAGTTCCAACCCCCTCAGCAGCTCCAGTCCCAGCAGCTCCAGTACCTCCAGTACGAGCACCTCCAGGACCAGCTGCTCCAGCACCTCCAGCAGCTCCAGCAGCACCGCCAGCAGCAGCAGTGCCTCCAGCAGCTCCAGCACCAGCAGCACCTCCTGCAGCTCCAGCAGTACCAGCACCAGCAGCACCAGTACCAGCAGCACCTCCAGCAGCTCCAACACCAGCAGCACCTCCAGCAGCTCCAGCAGTACCAGCACCAGCAGCACCAGTACCAGCAGCACCTCCAGCAGCTCCAGCAGCACCTCCAGCAGCTCCAGCAGCACCAGCACCAGTAGCACCTCCAGCAGTACCAGCAGCACCGCCAGCAGCAGCAGCACCTCCAGCAGCTCCAGCAGCACCAGCACCAGCAGCACCTCCAGCAGCGCCAGCAGCACCGCCAGCAGCACCAGCACCTCCAGCAGCTCCAGCAGCACTAGCACCAGCAGCACCTCCAGCAGCGCCAGCAGCAGCAGCACCTCCAGCAGCTCCAGCACCAGCAGCACCTCCAGCTCCAGGGTCCGCGACACTAGCAGCGCCACTCCGGAGACTGCAGCGACGAGGGTACCACTCTCGGAGCCGCTGGGGAGAGGGCAGCTCCCGCCTAGGAGGGGAAGCACGAGCACGAGCTCCAGCAGCACCTCTCCTGAGGCTGCAGTACTGTAAGTACCACTCACGCAGCTGCTGTGAGGAAAGAGCGCCTCCAGGTCTAGCACTCTCAGTCGCAGCACCCTCTTGCTCAGTACCCTCAGACGTAGCACTCCCAGGCTCAGCACCCCCAGACTCAGCACCCGCAGGCTCCGCACCCCCAGACTCCGCAACCCCAGGCTCCGCACCCCCAGACTCCGCAACCCCAGGCTCCGCACCCCCAGGCTCCGCACCCCCAGGCTCCGCATGCTCAGGCTCAGCACCCCTAGCAGGACGAGAGTCGACAGCTACCTCGACAGGCTCAACCGGGTCTACCTGGGACACACCTGAGGGAGCGGCACCCTGGGGGGGGAGGGGGTCTACCACAGCAGCACCTGGCGCGAGGAAGAGAGGCGGGGGGGGGGGGGCGGGGCAGTGCGGTAGGAAAAGAGGCGGTAGTAGGGCACCGACTCGTCAAAAGTGACGTCCTGAGAGGGTAGGACACGGCGCGAGGTGGCGTGGTAAAACCGCCAACCAGACGCGTCTGGGACAAAGCCAAGGAAGACACAAGGAACAGCGCGGGAGGAGAGCTTGTCCGCGGACGTATCGCGGACAAAAGCTCGAGATCCCCAGACCCGGAAACGCGACGCATCGCCAACCTTCCCCGTCCACAGCAGTGTGGGCGAGATCTCCGGCAAGGAGACACGGGGCCAGAGGTTGAGCTGATGCGCAGCGTACCGGACCGCAAACGGCCACAGAAAGTGGGGGGCAGCCGCATGGATCAAGGAGGTACGAGCGACCTCCATGACCAAGCCAATGCGGCGCTCAGCAACCCCATTCTGTTGTGGAGAGGCCGGAAACGTGAACGACTGCTCAATGCCCTGCCCCTGACAGAA